CACATGATATCCAAATGTGGTAACTACATACCAGCCATTAAAATGTTTTTTTTTTCCCCCAAATTTGAAAGAGAGTTACAAACCTGCTTGATGCTTCTATGGGTTCTTGGCAAATTGGTATATGATGCAACGTCCTATCTTTGAATGTATTTCAACATAAAAGTACCAAAATGGTAGTTTCTTGATGGTCGCACCACATGATATTTCATAAAATGGAGATTATCGGACAAAGTTTGTTTGAATATTATGATGGCAATATAAATACAAATGCTTTGCAATTTTATGCAGGATTACAAAACACTTAGGAAATCATGCCAAATAGTGCTGAAAATTAATGAATAAATTTAGGGTAATTTCAAAGATGTTTCCAAAACAACAGTTATGGCCGGACAGTCGCACCACATGTTTTGACACTTTGAATAACATAAAAATTACAAATAACTAATGTTTTTTTAAAAGTTAAAGTTGGTACATATGTGGGAGAGGTGGTACTTATATATGGCATCTTTTTTATGCATTTAAAACCCTCATGTGGTGTTCGGGTCCTTTTTGCTCGGAGAAATTTTAATTTTTCCCGAAAATACTAGTTAATGTTATCGCATTGGACTGAAATTTAGTGACTTTGTTCACAAAGGGTATAACTACTTCTAAAAAATTTTTTTTATCATTTTCATACTTTTTTGGGGGAGATGTTTCACCTTGTTACACTTGTGGTGTTCCTGGGCAAAAATGACCCGACCTCAAAGAAATGCTTATAAATCACTCATTATGCTATATTATCACCAAATATTGGATTCAATCTTTTTGTCAACTTCTTTTCTTTCATTTAGGACTGGTTTTGTATTTATATTTGCTTCTGATTAATCGTAGGCCTCATTTATCTGAGAGTAGGCACCTCATTTTTTGAGTGAAAAAAGCATTATTTATGAATAATTTTCACTATTAAATAAAAACTGATGAAAATGTGCACTGTTTATCACACTAGTGTACTTTAATGTTTAATCAGGGAGTTTGTTTTGAAAGGCTTTTATTTTGTACAAAATAGCACAAAGTCACACTTGTTAAACATTAATCTTAACATGAATTTATGGATTTAATTGCACTCATGCCACCTCTGATCCTCATTAAATGTCTGAAAATACACCTACAAGCCACTTTTGTGTTCTTCTGTGCTACCTCTGTACAAATAAATTTTAACACTGATTTCATTTGATTAGTATCTTATTCTTCTTCTACTACTTTTTCTTATTCTATGGTTTTATCTAGAATTTTTAAAAAGCTTATAAAATATAATAAATAAAAAAATTGACATAAAAGATGACATACTTTTAATAAAGATAGAAAAATGCCATTACAAAGGTAAAAACAAAATTCTACTGTAAATCACTTTGAGTCAAATATCACCTCGTAATGGGAAGGCTATTTTTCGATCAAATTTTGGTGCTCCTAAATTTTTGACTGTGCTCCTAATATTTTTAAGTTAGGAGCCCAAGCGCTCCTAAAAAGAAAAATAAACGTAGAGCCCTGTATGACAGTGTCAGTGTTATTTTTTTGTGACAGTATAAATATTGGTTTGTTGTTCAATGAAATGTTCTCTATATAAGAATCATAAAGGAATAGTTCACCTAAAAATGAAAATTCTGTCATTAATTACTCACCCTCATGTCGTTCCAAATCCGTAAGACCCCCGTTCATCTTCGGAACACAAATTAAGATATTTTTGATGAATTCTGAGAGCTCTTTGACCCTCCCATAGACAGAAATGTAATTACCACGATCAAGGTGCAGATACGAAGCAAGGAGATCAGTAAAATAATCCATGTGACATCAGGGGTCTAACCGTAATATTACGAAGCTACGAGAATAAATTTTGTACGCAAAAGAAAACAAAAATAACGACTTTATTCAACAATTTGTCTGCTCCACGTCACCCTGGTGCCATTTTGGAGAATATCCACTGAACGCAAACTGCGTATGCTATTCTGTGTCAGCTGCGTCACGCCCTAAATGAAAGAAAAGAAGTTGACAAAAAGATTGAATCGAATATTTGGTGATAATATAGCATGAGTGATTTATAAGCAATTTTTTGAGGCTGGGTCATTTTTGCCCTGGAACACCACAAGTGTGACTTTGTGTCATTTTGTACAAAATAAAAGCATTTAAAAGCAAACTCCCTGATTAAACATTAAAGTACACTAGTGTGATAAACAGTGCACATTTTCTCCACATTTTATTTAATATTGTGAAAATTATTCATAAATAATGCTTTTTTCACTCAAAAAATGAGGTGCCTACTTTCAGATAAATGAGGCCTACGATTAATCAGATGCAAATATAAATACAAAACCAGTCCTAAATGAAAGAAAAGACATTGACAAAAAGATTGAATCCAATATTTGGTGATAATAATGCATAATGAGTGATTTATAAGCAATTTTTTGAGGCCGGGTCAAACAAAGAAAACAAAACAAACAAATAAGATCTGAAATTAAGTTATGTTTAATAAAATGGAATGACCCAGGGAAAAAGTATTGAACACGCTTACTGAAATTTATTTAATACTTTGTACAAAAACCTTTGTTGGTAATGACAGCTTCAAGACTCCAGCTGTATGGAGAAACTAGTCGCATGCATTGCTCAGGTGTGATTTTGGCCCATTCTTCCACACAGTCTTCAAATCTTGAAGGTTCTGTGGGCCTCTTCTATGAACTCTGATCTGTAGTTCTTTCCATAGATTTTCTATTGGATTTAAGTCAGGTGATTGGCTGGGTCATTCTAGCAGCTTTACTTTATTTCTCTGAAACTAATTGAGACCCCATTTCCTTGGCCGTGTGTTTGGCGTTATTGTCTCGCTGGAATGTCCACCCTTGTTTCATCTTCATCATCCTGGTAGATGGCAGCAGATTTTTATCAAGAATGTCTCGGTACATATTTCCATTCATCCTTCCTTCAATTATATGAATTTTGCCAGTGCCACTTAGAATATGGTGACATGCCAATCAGCTAATCAACTCAAAACACCTGCAAAGGTTTCCTGAGCCTTCAAAATGGTCTCTCAGTTTGGTTCACTAGGCTACACAATCATGGGGAAGACTGCTGATCTGATAGTTGTCCAGAAGACAATCATTGACATCCTTCACAAGGAGGGTAAGCCACAAAGATTCATTGCCAAAGAAGCTGGCTGTTCACAGAGTGCTGTATCCAAGCATGTTAACAGAGAGTTGAGTGGAAGGAAAAAGTGTGGAAGATAAAGATGCACAACCAACCGAGAGAACTGCAGCCTTATGAGGATTGTCAAGCAAAATCGATTCAAGAATTTGAGTGAACTTCACAAGGAATGGACTGAGGCTGGGGTCAAGGTATCAAGAGCCACCACACACAGACGTGTCCAGGAATTTGGCTACAGTTGTCGTATTCCTCTTGTTAAGCCGCTCCTGAACCACAGACAACGTCAGAGGTGTCTTACCTGGGCTAAGGAGAAGAAGTACTGGACTGTTGCCCAGTGGTCCAAAGTCTTCTTTTCAGATGAGAGCAAGTTTTGTATTTCATTTGGAAACCAAGGTCCTAGAGTCTGGAGGAAGGGTGGAGAAGCTCATAGCCCAAGTTGCTTGAATTCCAGTGTTAAGTTTCCACAGTCTGTGATGATTTGGGGTGCAATGTCATCTGCTGGTGTTGGTCCATTGTGTTTTTTGAAAACCAACGTCACTGCACCCGTTTACCATTTACGTCTAATTCTTTTTGCCTCGTTCTTTTCCACACACACAGCAGATCCAGAGAGAAGAGGCTCCTCAGTGACAGGATATGATGCTGGAGGTGGAGGCAGCACAGGCTCTCCAGTGCCCTTTGACCTTTCATCGCTCAGTTCCTCCTTGCCTGTTCGAAAAACACCAGAGTCATTTTTGGGTCCCAATGCTGCACTCGTGGATTTGGACTCACTAGTATCATCAAAACCCAAACCTAAACAACCACCACCGCCAAGCATCTCCTCCACATCTCACAACCCCTTCCTACAGACACAAGGTGTGTATTTAAAACAACCCACGTTTAGAGAGAAATCTTGTTTTGTTTATCCCTCTAACATTAGTTTTCTCCTTTAACTTTAGGTCCCTCCTCAACAGGAATGGGAGTTACCCCAGGCAGTACCATTTCCAGTAGAGGGGTGTCTCCGACACCACCTTCTGCTTCTAATCCTTTTGGCGCGACCCCGATGGCATCCATCTCCCCTCAACCTTCTTCGCTCGGTCTGAGCCAGCTCCGTACAAGCCCCATTCCCCAGAATCCTATGCTGGGTCACATGCCTCCACCAGCAGTGGGAATGGTTCAGCCGGGGATGGGCATGCCAGGAATGGGGGTCCCTATGGCGGCCCCTGGTATGGGCATGGGAATGGTACAGTCCAGCCCAATGGGCATGCCTTTTGGTGGAATATCCCCCATTGGTCCCGCAGGAAATCCCTTGCTGATGGGCCCTAGTGGCCCCGCGCAGCCTGCACTGATTTTGGGCGGCACGTCGGGGGTGGGCGGAGTGATGGGAACAGGAGGATCTATGGGAGGTGGAACAACAGGCACAAGCACCAATCCTTTCCTTCTTTGAGAGATTTCACCAATCCCACGTGCCCTGTCAACTAAATCCAACCAATCCAAACCTGCCCTACCAACACAAACAGTTTGTGTTTGACAAAAAAGAAATGTGTATACATCTCTATATTTAATGAAAAAGTAAAAACAAAAATGTGTTATTTTCTTTCACAAAACAGCATTTCAGTTTTTTTTTGTTTTCATTTTATTTTACACAGTATTTGAAGTCTATTTATTTCCCTATTAGTTCAGTTTTTTCTTTGACAGACATGGATGATTGGTGGGTTCATTCAATGAATGCAGGCTGTTAATATTGTTATATTATTAGGATGATTGTTATTGTTCAGAAACATGAAGATAAGGGAGGAGGAAAACAAGCCACTAATGAACTTCATCATACACCCTTTTCTCCTCCTTTCATTGAGCCGGTGACCCTCTGATGAAAGAGTGCATGAAGGATGACTGTGACGGGCTCGCTCTGAACAGACTGAGAAGAATTCAGCTGTCCGTTTTATTCACAACTCTAGTAAAAAATAATAATAATTCGATAGATGTATTACTTTTAATTTAATTTAATGTGTAATTTATTTTAATTGTATGTCTCTGACTCCTGGGATCGATTAAACCAAGGAAAATCGCACTGGAAATTGCCATTGAAACAGATGCCTGCTTGGTCTCCTTCGACCACCTGCGAAATTTCAGTCCACGTCAAGTGGTACACATGAAGAGATGCTGTGTGTGAGTGTATGAGTGAGAGAGAGAGCTTGTATGATGTGTCCATTGTTTTCACTCGGTCCTCTGTGCTTCTGATGGGGTTTTATCAGCATAGTCTCACTTTCAGCACTCTTAACTTGTTATAAAGGTCCTTCTTTTCACACATTTATTTTTGCAGTTGTAAGAATCAAAGCATTAATTCGACACCTGTTCACGTGAGAATCAGCCTGTCTTTTAATTTCACTTCAGCACATTTTTTCCTTGAACATTTACACAGAAAGTGGGAAAGTGTTAACGCTTCTGAAACTGAAAAAGAAAATTACCTATGATTATAATTAATGATTATGTGAAATCATATACATTTGGGGACTGAATGACATGCTGTTATTCTTTATTTACTTTCAATGAATTATTTTATATATATATGAACATTTTAGAGATATTTCTCTAATATTGGCTATGGTCAAAAATCGTGTGGTGTTGACTGTGAACATTCACATTTAAAAATAAAATGGAGGGGGAAAAAATCAAAGAAATTTAAGAAATAAAAAATCCACAAAAAATTGTCTAAGCTTTTTTTTTTTTCTTTGGCATTGGTTTGCTTTTAAATGGCAACTAAAAGAAAACACATTGGACGTTTCTTTTTATTTTGTTTTTAATTGAAGACAGAAGACATTGGCTCCCTAAGGAGATTTGCTATGTGACAAAGTGTAATAATATAAAGCAATAAATGTCATAATTGATTTCAGTCAAAATACACCCATATGTATTGCCATAATATACCTCACTGTACTGTTAAACTGCATTTATCCTCCCACAAATTGTTAGTGTACATGCAATTTGTTGAAAAAGTGCAATTTAAGATTGTCTTTGGTCAAAAAGTTCTTTCAATAGCTATTAAATTGACTAAAGTGTCAGGAAAGCCTCTATCAACATTCACCAGCCTAACCCAGCAAAAACTGAGCCATTGTCAATTGGCTAAGGCTTTGGAAGTGCTAATGCTATTTACATTGTAATACGCTTGACGTAAAAGGCAGCCTGGCGTGGATCGATCCACCCCAACCTTCAAGGTCTGGAGCAGTTCAGGAACAAATATGATAAATATTTTGCATTGCAAGTTTTGGTTAACCTCACAATTTGGTGCTGGCTATTATTATTCTCCAGCACTTCAACATGCAGTTGACTATAGCAGCACCACTGTGCCATAACAACCAAAGGAAACAAACAGCTGAATGATCATTGTTACGATGGTGCTGCTTTTGTTCCACATATAAATGAAACAAGATGAATGAGTTAGCCTCACCTCCTTTTTGACAGATACTCATGCCTTTTCTCAATAATTGGCCCATTTTTTTTATTACGGTGTATTTATCTGCAAACAAAATTATTCAATCAAAGAATCCCAGTCGAAATCATCCTGGATTTCCTCACTGTTGACTTTCTTCAAGTGTGGACGTCCTGTTGGGGTCAGGGGTTGAGTTTGAAGTGCTGTATTAGGAGAATGAGTAAAAACAGTTAAAACGTTCTCCAAAACAATATCTTGATGTTCTACAGAAGTCATGGAATGGTTTGAAACTACATTGGGGTGAGTAATCAAATGACAGAATTTTAATTTTGGGGTGAACTATCCCTTTACGTTTAGATGCACAGTGGTCCTGTAAGGATTTAAGGGGTCTGTTGACGTACCGTTAGGAGTCAGAGGCTGGTTCGTGGTGGACTGCAGCCCCAGGGATCTCTGTGCTGTCTGGTTCTGGGTGTGAGGAGTCAGGCTTCTCCTAGGACTTTGAAGGGGAGATTCACCAGTGCCAGGAGGGAGCTGAGAGCAGTAGATGAGTGGAGAGGGTTGAGTTAAACTAGCCAGGCTGGGAGGGTTAGTGGGCGGCATATTCATAGGAGGTGGGGCCATTTGTCCGAAAGAGGAGGGGCCACCAGAAGATGAGCTAATGAGACCCTTCTGAGTGAAGAAACGGTTGAGTGAATCACAGAGCGAGGTGAAGAGCGTCGAATCCAAAGCCCAGTCACAGAGCTCAGCCTGCCGCATGCTCTCTACCAGGTCTGCAAGAGAACAACATAGATAGAAACAATTAATTACAGTGATGTACAGTAGTTTTGTAGTATTTTGAATGCATTCATAAATTAACAAACCTTTAAGAAACATTACACACAGATTATGCTCAGAATTTTTGCATGTCTATTCAATTAGGTGTTCATTTTAATAAGCTGGTCCAAAAAAAATGCAACCATTAATTATCCTTTTTTCAGCAAAATAAATATTTAGGTAAATAACACTTCCCTCACTTTATGACCAATGAATTTCCAAAATTCTTCCAGGCCTTTTTTAAAAGTTGTTTGTGACAACAGTCTCCTATATTCACTAAGGCTGTATTTATTTAATCGAAAATACAGTAAAAACTGTAATATTATAACGTCATTTCAAATTAAAATAACTGTTTTGTATTTGAATATATTTTAAAATGTAATTTATTCCTGGCTATCTGCTATGGTTTCATCTTTGCTTCCTTCCCTTAAGCAGTTAGCATCTCTTGATGCTAACAGTGCTACTGATACTTTCTGCTCCACTCTTACATCTTGCTTAGACCCTGTCTGCCCCTTGTCTTCCAGGCCAGCCCGTACCACTCCTTCTGCCCCTTGGCTGTCTGATGTTCTCCGTGAACATCGTTCTAAGCTCAGGGCTGCTGAAAGGGTGTGGCGCAAATCAAAAAATCCTACTGACCTTAATGTGTATCAGTCACTCCTCTCTTCCTTCTCTGCCAATGTCTCCACTGCTAAAAGGACATACTATCATAACAAAATTAACAATTCGTCTAACTTGCATCCTTTTTAAAACATTTTCCTCGCTCCTTTGTCCTCCTCCCCCTCTTTCATCAACTCTAACAGCTGACGACTTTGCCACGTTCTTCATTAATACAATTACAACCATCAGTGCACAATTTTCCACACCACAATCTGTCAAGCACATCCTACCAGCAAACATACACTCATTCACAACCTTCTCTTCACTCTGAGGCAGAAGTCTCCAAACTCATCCTTTCTAATCATCCTACTGCTTGTCCGCTTGATCCTATTCCATCTCATCTCCTTCAAGCCATTTCTCCTGCAGTTGTACCTGCACTCACATCATTAACACATCTCATCACACTGGTGTTTTCCCCTCAGCATTTAGACAGGCTCGTATAACCCCACTACTTAACTGAGACTTGTTATAGCACTTGCATTTCATTGCTCTTTTGTTGATTTTGATTGCTTCCATTGTCCTCATTTGTAAGTCGCTTTGGATAAAAGCATCTGCTAAATGACTAAATGTAATGTAATGATGACAAAGCTGAATTTTCAGCATCATTACTCGAGTCTTCAATGTCACATTATCCTTCAAAAATCATTCTAGTATGCTGATTTAGTGCTCAAGAAACATTTATTATTATGACAGTTGTGCTGCTTAATGTTTTTGTTTGCTTATTACATTTTAATTTATATATAATGTAAAATAGAGGTTTTCCAGGACAGCGCAAACCCTGTAGATTAATTAAAGTGTTGTTTTAGCAGTTCAGTGTTAAGTGTAAGTGCATGAGTATTAATATTATAAGTTAACGAATCATACATCCTTATAGTTATGTATTTAAAAAGATATTAATGGTTTCAGAAATTAGTGTAGCAATTTTCTACCAAATGGTAGTGTGACTGCTTTTAGTTTGAAGTAGAGGTCGACCGATATATTGTTTTGCCGATATTATCAGCCGATATGAGCCTGTCGCTGATATATCGTATCGGCGAATATGCCGCCAATATGAAATTTTTTTTTTACAGAACATATAACGCAGATAAAATGCTTGAAATGATGTAATTGGCGTAAGAGAAAGACACAAAAATCATTACAAGCACCGACAGCGAGAGACTGTTTAGGACTGCATCGCATGTCTTCAATGAGAAGAGGAAAGGGTGATTGTTGCTGTTTACTGTATGATGATTGAAATCGCGAAATGGCCTTAAACAATTAGTAAATAAACTGCAGAACGTTATGTTTTCTAATACACGCACGCATTGCATGTATTCTGACAGCGCTGCACGAACTCGCAGCAGATCTGCTTGTTAACCAGGGTTCAAAGTCCAAAGCGCGAGGAAAATCTGCGCTGATACAGTCGTCAGATAATCAGTCACATTTTTATGAATTTTTACAAGGCACGTGACAATGCGATACGTACAACGTATTCGTAATGAGACTCATTTATAAATCTGTTATCAACAAAAATAAGCATTGAGGTCTTCCTGCGCGTTTCCGCCAAAATAAAAGTTGAGAAAAAGCAAAAACTCTTATCAACATCCATAAATGTTAGTATTGTAACTTTACTGTTGTTCTGTAAAATAAAAAGTAAGACAATAATAATGATAATAATCATTACAACAGCTCTGTTAATACATTTATTATAACATTCACACACAGTGTTCAAATTAGGATCTGTAATATTTTCTAATGTTTTAAAAGAAGTCTCTTCTCAGCAAGGCTGCTTTTAATTGTACAGTAAAAAATACATGCCTGATTCAAGATGGCCAAAAATTATTATTTTACTAACTTATTAATTTTAAGTTAAATTGTGCTTTGTTGGTATAGTGCCTGCTAGAATGTTAAAAATGTTCAGTGTTAAAAAAATTTTAATTGTTGTTTTGTAATTGATTTTTTTATTTTTTTTGAAAAGCAAGACAAAACAGTAAAAAGCACATTTGGGCTATTTAATTTGTGCAATGGTGAAAAAAATTGGCAAAATACATGGGGAAAAAAACCTCCGTGTTCGGTATTCGGTATCCGGCCCAGTGTTTAATTTTGTTCGGGTTCGGCTTCGGCCAAGAATTTTCATTTTGGTGCATCCCTAGTAAATACATTTATAATGTTATCTTTCAAATAAATGTTGTTCTTTGGAACTTTGGAAATTCTTGAATTAAAATGTATAATAATGGATTTCACATAAATATTAAGCACAACTGCTTTCAACATTGGTAATAAAAAGAAATGTTCACTGTCAAATCAGCATAAAAATGAGCATTGCCAGGACAGGAATAAATAACATTTTAAAAATACATTAACAAATAAAACAGTTACTTTAAATTGTAATCATATTTCACAATCTTAAAGTTTTTACTGTATTTTTGATCAAATAAATGCAGTCTGGTCAGCATAAGAGACTTATTTAAAAAAATAAATAGCATGTATAAATAATATCAAAATATTTGTATAAAGGAATTATAATACAAATGAATTGTGATTACTTTGATGTATGATTTCCATTTCATTTTCAATGAAACAAAAAAGGAGATGTTTAGCAAAATGTCCAAGCTGCTCTTTTCCATACAATCGTCAATGGAAATACAATTCCATACAATCAAAAACATGGTAAAAAACAGTCCATATGACCTGTGCACAATATTTCAAATCTCCTAAGGCCATACAATAGCTTTGTGTGAGGAACAGAATGAAATCCTTATCTACTGAAAGTCACAATGGTTCACTGACATCAAACCTGGTGCAACACATCTTCACACATCAGGTTAAGTCGAAAGCTATAGCAGATGAGAAGATCTTCAGTGGTTAACAGCTTAAATTTCCATCTGTTCCTCACAAAAAGCTACAGTATGTCTTGAGAATATATGGAATATAGGACATGAGCTGTACTTGTATGCTACTTTAATGGAGTTGTGTCGTCTTTTTTGCAGCTTTCCTCACCTGCTCACTGTATACTTTCATTGAGAGCAGCATAAACATTTTAAAAACTTCTCCTTGCGTGTTTCCGAAAAAAAAAGTCATATGGGATTGGAATGGCACAAAAGCACTCAGACTAGCCTGAGTATCAAAATCGAACCATTTCAAATGACTTGCCTGATATTTCCTTGGTGTGTATATGTTGTCATGGATAGCTTCCTGTTGCCACGGGAGACCGAAGAAGGGCCCCATGGGTGAGGAGGCAGGGGTCACCAGCTGTAGGCCAGCCATGCTTAGAGACTGTTAAGCAGGGGACCTCCAGTCATCCAGTGTTTATCTCATTGCATCATGGCCTTCTAATGCTTACTGCAAGAGACCGATCACGTAACATCAGATCAGTGGTATGTCACAAACAACAGCGCTAAAATCAAGTATGTCACGTTTCCGTTACATTCGGTGATATTTTGAGCGACATGTTATTTAGCTCTGGTTAGAGGCCGTATGAATCAGGAGGGTTACTGATTATAGATGAGTGTTTACTTACAGCTTGTACGTTTCCCACTTTGCTGTGTGACCAGGTCGTACTTATTCTGGGCGTCATTATCAGAGCTCTTAAAATCAGCTCATTCTTTTTCCTCTCAAGTTATTCTGCTAGGACAAACAGACATACACTTAGAATCTATACAACTGTAAAGCAAACAGGTCAGAGATTATACTAACTAAGCACCTCACTACAGCGATACAACAAAAATTCATTCAAAAATATATAAAAGGAGGAAATGAGCCCTATTTATAGACAAGGCTGTTGGTAAATTTTACCTTTGGCTATTAGAATAAGGCTGGGTCAACATTATATTTTTCTGGTCAAAAACCACCCACTTAGTTAGGAAAAACCTGTCTGTTTGACATGTAAAGCAACCAACAGTGTTGGCCATTTAAAGCTAATCTGACATTCAGAGCTTTATTAAACAAAATTATTAAAATTTTGCTACATCAAAAGCACTTAATTACCTATTCTACTACAGTAATCATAATGTATATATGTCGAAGCAAAGTACACCTAATACACACTACTGTTCAAGTTTTGGGTGAGTAATTTTGTTTGTTTTAGTATTGTGACATATTATTAGATTCTAAATTATTATATTTTAAAGTTATAAAATAAATGTATAAACAATATTCAGCAAAACTGAAGTTTTTGCAGCCATAACTCTAGTTTTCAGTGTCACATGATCTTTCACAAATCAGATTTGGTGCTGAAGAAATATTTTTCAATGATGAAAACAGTTGATCATCATAAAGAGAACGCGCATCCAGTGTAGACAGCATCACTGATAATGAGTTCATTGTATTTTGTTGCGTCGCGCCGCTCGCGTACGGAGTAGACATGGTGAGAGCCACACACTTCTGCGTCTATTTGTGCCTGAAATACTGTGTTCTACAAGTATCCTTGTAAACGCAGTTGCTTATGGCTTAGGTGAAGGGAAACAATTGAGAAAGAAAATGGATGTGTAACAGTAGCCTATATTGGTTTACAGCAGTTTAATATTCCTGAGGCTTTCGGTGTTATGAATGTTATGAATTGAATTAAAGTTGAATAAACTTCAACTTTACTGTTCAGTGCACTGATGTCAGACTCATTTTGGATAATAAAGTTTATTGTTAAATTGTTAAATGCCCTGCCTCCATTACATATCTCTGTCACGTCATTATAAGTGTTTGATCACCACATTTGAGTGATCATTGCAAAGAATGTGTTTATATATATATATATATTCTGTTTATGTATATACTGTATTCTATATATAGTACCAGTCAAATGTTTGGACACACGAATGGGAAAGTGTCAAAACTTTTGACTGGTATTGTACTATAATATACACAAAGAATATCGGCCGATATATCGATATCGGCCTTTTTTTTTTTATAAACTCCCTAATATCGGTATCGGCCCCAAAAAACCCATATCGGTCGGGCTCTAGTTTGAAGTATAAGAAGATTGCAACTTGGCAAGTTACAGTTTCAAAATAGCTTCACAACAGTGGAAAATACTGCTTCTGGATGCACAAATTCCAAAACGGTCACTTTGAAACTAAAATGTAACTCCAGAGCGGAAAGTGAAAGCATGTAGACTACAGCTGAGTACTGACCAGGGTGACTGGTGAGATCAATGTTAGCCCAGTCCAGACTACTAGCAATTCTGAAACTCTCTCTCAAAGAGTCAGCGTTACTGAACCAATCTGCAGGAACAGCTGAAGGAGAGAGAGAAAAAGATAGGTTTAGGACACTCGTATCCCATCAACACATCACCACTGAGCAGTTATACTCACCATTACTGTGCAGCAGCTTGTCAGTCTCAGTGTTGGAGTTTGGATGAATGTTAGAGTTCTGGTTTGGGTTTAGGTTGTGGATAAAACTAGAGTTAGTATTGGGTGTATTTGGGTTGAAGTTGCCATTGGTATTGAGGTTTGGGTTAAGAGTAGGGTTGGGGTTGGTGTACTGGTTCATATTAGGGTTTGGATAGGGGCAGGGGGAGAGAGGAGGCAGGGTTGGCGTGTGGAGCGGTGTACTGTCATGGGTTAGTCCATGTAAATTGGTAATGTCCGCTATGAGAGAGAGTGAGAGAGAGAGAATGTGAATCATTAAACACAACTAAACTGACACATCTTACACCGACTTGATTCTGAATCAAAATAAATGATAAGCCAAAAGGAAAAGAGTGGCATAATAGATTTACTTTGTGAGGTGACTCTCTCTGTCACAGAGCGACAGAGGGACTGGAAGGAATTGTACAGATCTGGCAAGTTCAAATCAGCAAAGGAGAATCGAAGAGAGGGATCAGCATGAGGGTTCGAAGGAAGAGATGTAGGTACTGGGATGTTTGGACGTTGCTGTGGAAATTTAATTTGCAGAGATTCATTTGAGAGTTATTTAGATAAACAATGTAATATACTACTTAAAAGAATAGTTCAGCCAAAAATGAAAGTTCTGACATTATTTACTCATCCTCACACCCAAACTCCAACTTATTTTCTTTCATGAAGCACGATTCAAATTTTCAATTCGAATTTAAATGGATAGTTCACCCAAAAATGTTGTCATTATTTTCTCACCATCATGTTATTCCAAACCTGTATAGGTTTCTTTCTTCTGTTGAACAAAAAAGCCAGTTAATTTCCATTATGACCAACACAATCTACCAAAAAGGAAATTATCACAGCCATGTCAAGCGCAAATTGGGTTAAGAAGACATGTTTTTGTGTGGCGTCTGAAAGAGAAATTCCTACAATTGCATAAGGTCAGCTGAAAAAGTAATTGTGTCTGTGACTGTTAATTTTTTGCTGCGTGTCTTTAGTAAATATTGACAGTAATTTTTTTTAATCTCAAAAGAGGGTTTGTGCTTGCACAAGCTATTAGTAAACTGGTGCTAGCTCCTAAGTTGACATCTTTAGAATATGGCACCTCTATTTGATGTCAATGTTGGTTACGTTATATAGAAACAATGACATTAATGGCATCTAAGCACCCTTTTTGTAGTTCATACAACTTTAAAGTTGGCACCTATTTTGTAAATGCATAGTATAGATTTTAAATACCATAGATACAAATAATACCATACAGGTTTGAAATGACATGAGGGTGAGAAAATGATAACAGAATTTTAATTTGAACTATTCCTTTGAGATGATGCATGCATTTAAATTCACTATAAATAAAAGTAATCATTTACAGTGTCTACCAGTTTACAAAGTCTACCAGTCACTAGCTTTCTTTTGTTTACCACACACTCTCATTTCCTCATTCTTAGACCTCAAGCTCTGCTATAAGAGGATCTTAATCCTTAATAGAAATAGAAAAGCAGAAGAAATGACTTTGAACCTTGCAAGGAGGGGGAGAGAACGTGCTTTTGGTGTCTGACTGAGGTGGGAGGGGCTCTGCTTGACTGACAGGCACTTGGGCCACTGAGAATGGAGCCTGAAAGAGAGATGTCGGTGAGTGAAATACTGATCTCACAGATGTGATGAATATACTTCATGTGACAAACTCTTACCTCCTCCTCTTTAGGATAAGGACGTTTGACTCCCCTGGGTTGAGTTGAGTTAGGCGGTACATCCATCGTCCAGTATGAGCCCTAAAACAGGTGATTATTTTAGCTTCAGTATTAGTAAGCAACAAAGTGGATTTGAGAGTGTTATAACAGTTTAAATAGTTAGTAGCATGACAGTAATAATCTTTCCTATTTAAAATGAATAAACCTTAGATATATAATAAAATAATTTGGCTACATCACCTTCCCAGGATCGCTCTGTGGTCGAGGAACTTTCCGGAAACATTTATTGAGGGACAAATTGTGTCGAATTGAGTTCTAAGAGACAAAACAGAAATGTGTCTGTACATACATATGTATTTGACATGCATTACTATGCAAAGGTTTTGGGTCAGTTAGCTTTTTGGTAACACTTACTTAAAGACTTTATGTATAATCCACTGTAAAGGTTATTAAAGGGTATAATGCATTTATAATTATTAATAATGTGTGTTGAAATACATTATATCTTGTCGTAAATACTTATAACCGAATTTAAAATGCATAGTGTAACAATGAATTGATAAGTGTTATAATGTATTAACTGTGGTTACAATTATGCATGAGATTGTACAATGCATTATAAGATGCATTACAGAACATAATTAATGCATTAAAACTACCTTTATAATGCATTATACATAAAGACTTTAAGTAAAGTGTTACCAGATTTTTTTTTTTGAAGAAATTAATACTTTTATTCAGCAAGGACGCATTAAATGAATCAAAAATGACAGTAAAAACAGTCATGTTTTAAAAGATTTCTATTGCTGTTCTTCTGAACTTGCTATTTGTCAGAATCTTGAAAAATGCATTTGTCACGATGTGCCTACTGTGTAGGAACGAGGAGCACGTCGGAGACGGACAGGAAACAAGGGGCAGAGCACACTTTATATACAGAACTAAACGAGGGGAACTAGACGAGACACACCTGAAATCAATGAGCATAATCAACACCGGAGAAACTGGGTCATGGGGAGCACATGGGGAGCAAAACACAAGACACGGAACACAGGGGCAGTCCAAGGGCGTGACAGCATTATGGTTTCCACAAAAATATTAAGCAGCACAACTGTTTCCAACATTAATAACAATAAAAAAGTGTCTTGAGCAGCAAATCAGCATATTAGAATCATTTCTGAAGAACACTGAAGACTGGAGTAATGACTGCTGAAAATTCAGCTTTGCCATCACAAGAATAAATAACATTTTATGAATCATTTGAATCATTTCCTAAAATCGGTTTTTAAACATGTCCAGATTTCTCAGATAATCAGCACCACTTCCAGTTAAAGAGCATCACATATCATTTAGCTTTAATCGTGAAGTAGAAGAGATTGCATCACATTTCCTGTAAAGTATCACTACACACCTACAAACTGTCATTTCACATTGACAGAAAATCTGTTATAAGTCTGTGTGATGAATCATATACAAATTTTAAGTACGCAATAATAAAAAGCAGTCTGTTCACTTTGACACCTTTTGACCGTATGATATGATGCAAAAAAGCTCCCCAAAAATTCAAGTCAGTGTTATATCTATCAAAAGAGAAACTGAGCCACTGGACAGAAGAAAAGGCATGTTTACTTGCTCTATGGGCTCAGTGAGATTCATTCAGGGCTCTGAAATCCAATAACTATCAAAGTCAAAAGTCCTTCAAAAGGGCCAAGATCCCAAAAACATAAAAAATTAAAAAACATTGTATGCTGTAAAATTATGAAATGTTAAACTGTTAAATGTAAATGCCTAAAATCTACATTGCATCCATCAATGACATAAAAATTATCAGTTCTCTAAAGGACTTAATAACACATTTTCCTCATACCTTCAATATACATCTTAATCATTATTTGAATGTTTTTAGTGTAGTATTTTTATATCGTGATTTATTAAATTATTACTTCATAAATATAATTGATAAGTTATTTGAGGGGTCGCACCACATGACATTTTACAACCTGAACTAACCTTGACTTGACAAAAAGACAAGATGGTCAAATTATTTAATATTTTAAAATGAAAAAATTTAAATTTACATTTTTTCTAGGAAATAATTTAAGATAATATTATGCCATAAAGTTTTCTTTTCAAGTGTTTCTTTCCTTTAATGAGGCTTTTTTTCTGTATTATGATACCAGGAAGGTTGTATCATCCTGACATGTTTAACCCTGTGATTGACCCTAATATACAAAAGAACTGCTTTCAGCTACATTTATATTTCACAACAGTGTTAGTGTGTTTCTAGACTTGTTTATTAAATCAATAAAGGTGTAAATCCAAACCACAGGCCCAGTTCGAGCACAACTGCATACACAACTCTGCCTAATGCACTATTTAGCACAAGGAAGTGGTCATGTAGTGGTCTGGCCTTTACCTTCCATCCTCTTCCTGCTCTGCTGTAATAAGGAAATGTATTGCTGATCCATGTGTAAATATAATTCAAACTCAGCTTCATTTCAGGAGCAGAACTTATCGCCATGGCTATCAGAGTGGCGTAGCTGTGAGGGGGTTTCACTTTGGAATTGGAACCAGGGGACGGTGTCGGTATGGGAGGGATGCCCTTCTCTCGTCCTCGTTCTTTTTTTCGCTCCACTCTTTCTTTCCCTGATCGCAAAGTGCTGATTCCCAGCTGAGGAAGCCAGTCAATGCTGGTCAAACTAGAGTCCAGTTCAGAAGTCATGCTGAAGGGGAGATCTGAGGTGCAGAGAAAACAAAACATTATGTAATACTGTGTGTTAACCCATGCAGTCCAGCTAAACTGTGAAACCAAGTCAACAATGCCATACCCTGTTGCAAGACGATAGGATTTAAAAGCGTGTAGTTATCCCAATCTTAATTTAAAAGCCATTAAGTAATGTTTTGACAAACAAACATATACTTAAAGTATTAGAGTTACTGCACACTGTATGGATCAAATGTTGGATACACTTTTAGGTCTATTATTTCGAAAATAGCCTACTATAAGAGATTAATATGTGTGTTTAAGTATAAAAGATGAGTGAAAACATACCTCTGTTCTATCAAAGGGCCACAAGTTTCACGCGGTGTTAAATTTTAATGCTGTCATCTGTTGCACAGAGGCATCTGAGGGATCTCCGCAAACGTTTGTTTATTCTTCTTCTTTCTTGTCTTGTGTTTATCGCTGCATTCGTTCGCTACCTGAAGCGCCTAAGTTAACACGTTTTGTATGAAATTTCTGTTTGGGAGAAGAAAAAACAGTCGGAAAAAGTTCTTCCCTTTCTTTCTCTTTCTCCCTCCCGTTCTGCCTGCGTTGAACGTCACACACTCCACCCTCCGTTCGACATTTGAGAAGTCGGTGTGTTTCTCCTCCTCTCTGTCGTTCTCTCCTCCTCTCATGGCTGCACTTGTAGTGTTTTACTGTTGAGTAAGTTCATGTTTCTCTGCTGAAATAGGAGAGGAGTGGAGCACCAGGCGGGAACCCGCTGTAATAATTTCCATTCAGATTTTCTTGGTCCTATGACACAGTGATCTTTGCATCCTGGTGGATTTCACACTTGGCACACAAGTAATGAAGCAGTGAGGAAAAAATAACAAACGTTACGTAGGCTATCACACATATCAACACCATATGCATAATCAAGAGGCTTAAGCGTTATTCTTATTTCATAAAGATGAATGTACCGAATACAATCATATGGTAATGCTTTACAGTAAGGTTTTATGCATTAATATCACTTTACTTGTAAGTTAACAATAAAGGACACATTTACTTTTTTCATTTTAATTTATACATATAACACACATTAAAGTTGTATGTTAAAATATACATTGTTAACGCTTTATGATCAAACATAAAATAATAATGAAAAATAATATAATCAAATTAAAATTAAGCTTGATTAATAAATGTGATAACATTTTAAAGTGAGTTTTCATTTGTTAACATTAGTTAACATGAACTTACAATGAAAAATACTTCTAAAGCATTTATTAATCATAGTTAATGTTAATTGTAACTTTACTAATACATTATAACAATCTAAAGTTGTATTTGTTAATATTATATAACGGACCGTAGCTAACACTAACTAGCAATGGAAAGTTATTTGTATTAACTAACATTAACAAAGATGAATAAATTCTGTAACAAATGTATTGCTCATAGTTAGATAACGCATTAACTAATGTTAACACGCAGAACCAAAAGCGTTACAAAAACTCAGATTTGTAGAACCATTTGAAACATTTGAAAATTTCAAATATCCGTGTTTCTTTGGATGTTATTTTATTCGAATACACAAATGCTCAGAGTTCAGATGACTCTAACAGGTTCAGAAAGCAGTTTGTGCTGATTTCTAGTAATTGATGTAATTATGTCTGCGGGGTGTGGTGTGTGACTGGCCCTACAGAGAGCTGAAGAAGGCCAGCAGGCCTGTATCAGGGGAGGGGTGAGCCAAGAGCTTCTGGATCTGTGTGCAAAAAATGAAGGAGGACAGGTCAGAACATGAACACAACAATAGCTGAATGCAGACTTAATCACTACAAAATCCCAACCACCTCAGCAGCTCCTCATACAGACACAAACAAACCTTCAACCAGGGCTAAGAAAACCCTTGCTGAATCATATGATTTCCTCAAGGTCTTATAATAAGCGATAGCTTATCCCAAAAGTCAAAAACCCATCTTTTTTTTTCTTTAGCTGAACACAAAAAGAGATGTTTAATAAAATATCCAAGCTCTTTTCTTAACAAGAAAAGAAAAAAAAAAGGAATTAGTGCTGTCAAACTTAAAAATGTTCAAATAAATAAACATAAAAGTGGCCAAAGCAACATTTGTGTTATATTCCTTCTGTCAGCTTTGTGTTAAATATGCATTAAACTGTAACATTCTTAAATGTAAAAGATCCTAAAATTAAATATTCTTTTTTTAATTCAAGAAATTTAAACTGTATATATTTCCATTTTACATTTCTTGAATAAAAAATAAGAAAATTTACATATAAATTAATAATATATAAAATAATATATAAATTGTGTGTGTATATCTTAATGCACATACAAGAAAAAAAATCAGATGGATTTAGAGTGCCGTGAGATAATGAAAGAATGCATTTTAGGTTTAAAAGAGTTACAATATGGCTGACACACAGGTCAACGGGTACCTCTTTAAAGTTGGGGTGCTTGGCATTCTGCAATAGTTGTAATAAAACTCCCGGTGAGAAACGCCCCACTCTGCTTCAGTCGCGACAGTGCAAAAAGACGATCTGTCTGACTGAAAATGACAGACAAATATGTATAGAAAACCCTGAGAATCACTGTCTCATAGGACACAGCAAATTCTACACAACCACGTCAACAAATAAACATATATCTGTAAGCAAACACTGTAAAATTCCTCCTGTTTCTATAGACCTTTAGAAAAAAGCTTATAGACGCCATCCATCAATTGACCTGAGTTTGTGTTTGAAAAGATGTGGGTGTGAGTCAAGATAAGGTATGTAAAAGTCTTGTATTTGCAATGATTTAAAAACAATTTTTCATACTTTATCACAAAACACCAAGATACATTATATCACAACAGGTTTCAATTTTGTATATTTTAAACTAAATGATTATTATACCTTCGAGAAGAGACGGCATCTGCTACGATATGAACCTCCATGCCTCGCTCCAGGAGATCATAGGTTGTGCACTACAGCAGAATAAGAACATTAAAGATCACGATCAGGAGATAAAGGTGTGGCTGAAAAAGTGCCATGGCACCAGTTTAAACAGCCATGTGATGTTACCGCAATGCACGCTTGAGCCTCAATGCCACATAATATGACCTGCTGAGGGTCTCCCAGGCTTTTGAGTGAGCTCTCCACACTCTCCGTCAGCATGGAGAAACTGGTCTTTGTATGAGGCTTCAAGCCCTCGGCCCCCAGCTCAGGAACAGTGGGACCCAAACCTTTAGGGTACTGCTCGGTTAAAATCTGAGGGATGCTTAAGATTCGACATGCCTGGAAGAGTAAAATAATTAAGTCGTGGCCTAATGGTTAGAGAGTCAGACTCGTAACCCAAAGGTTGCGGGTTCGAGTCTCGCACTGCGATGTGTGTGCACTTAGGATGGGATAAATGCAGAGCACTAATTCCGAGTATGGGTTACCATACTTGGCCACATGTCAAAAAAAAGATGCCATATTAAAGCCATATTAATAAAACTTAAATGGATATTCTTCTGATATTCCTCACTTAACACATATGATCCTTAGTGTGACAACTTAAGATAATAAGAATAACATTATTCTATATGAATGTATGATGTTTTGTTTCAATAATATTTTCATGGTACATAATTACCTGTATTACAGTTTGCATTAAATATATTTAGACATGATAAAAGACTACTTCATTGTGGAAGATTTGTAGATTGTATCCCAAAAAATTGCTCTGTATTTTTTGTACGCCCTATTAATTTCCTATGAAGGTGTTGATTCTCTACCAGGGGGCCGGGGCCCATTAGAGGGCCTCAGAAAACTTCCATGTGGCCCAAATAAGTTTTAAAATGATTTCTGTTTAGTTATATTTACATAATCTTAAATGAAATAATAAAACACTAAAAATAAAGTTGTACAACATTTTGTTTTATCACAACACATGTAAGTACCAGCAGTACTTATTAGTTTATTGGCAATGAAAGCAAAAATGTTAAGAGCTACTGCAGTAATACTTTTTTTGTGACTAAACTGTAATGAGTGTCTGACTGTGCCACCTAAATGAAATTAAAAGAAAATGTTTAATGAAAATAAATACAATGTCTAAAAACGCTGCCATTGGGTTTTGAGCCACTGTCCTTGTAACAACAATAGTGAAAGTAAGTAGGCAGTGCTCTAATGCCCTGCATATTAATAATACATTGAATATTTCCCAGTTACACACAGATTGCAACTGTCATACTGCGCTGATAAAAGAGTTCAATGGTATTCAGAGGCCAATATGGGGGAGTCGCAGACCGCAAAGATCAAGTGAAGACTAACCAGGTCACCGTTACCCGTGTGTATGTGCTTTAAAGTGTCCATCCACTGCTCTTATTGGTAAAACTGTTGTTAAACTCTAGTGAAGTTTATATGGTAATGAGTAAGCCGTGTATAACACCAACAGAATCATGAATAACATAAAAGACAGCAGCACATAAAATGCAGAGAAGACGACTCGTTACAGCACAAATGTATATCTTAATATCTACGTGTGCCCTTGATATATATATATATATATATATATATATATATATATATAGATAGATAGATAGATATCCTTGATTATTACAACTGTTTAACACCAACTGTTTATATTTATACATGGATGATAGTCCCGTCTCTATTCATATTTTATTTTATTTTATTGTTAATTTTATTTCGGGTTCACCCAAGCTGTATTTCTGGCTGCTGCGTGTTCAGCTCCCATTCCAAAAAACCCAGCTTGTGTGTTCCCCTATTCCTTTGCTTTATTTATTTATTTATTTATTTATTTAACTATCAAATTCGTTTGTTTAATCCTGTTTCTATAATTTATTTCATCATTATTATTCTTTGATTTAAATGAACAAATCATTCTCACTCGCTGCATTCAAATACTGATTATAGCAAGAGCCAATAACATTCGAGTAAGGGATGTAAAGGAACATTTCATTGGTTGGACCTGCTGAACGAATACGCCCCCTTCACTGAACGAGTCAGTGTTCTGAGTCATCTCGTTTGTGAACGAACTGAATGAATGATGCATCGGAGTAAATGATTCACTGGTTCACCCACAAAAATACACCTGTCAGCACACTCTCGATGCAACCCACAGAGAGGATCACTGAATTTGAACAAAACATTTTCATGAACGGATTCAAAAGAATCGAGCCAAAATCCCCTGCCATTAGGGGACACAGTCAGATACAAAACAATACAGCCTAGTTTATTCAGTTTTTGTTTGTAAAGAACATGTGTATTTATATGTTATGATTTTAAATGCATATACAAATTCCTTAAATCAGCAGCTGTAATAAATACCCTTTATAATCTAATATATTTCAATAGCTTAAAATTGTAAAGTTAACCCGGAAGTGTTTGGGAGTGGCCACTGACCTTAGTGGGCGCACTCTCACGGCCTTGGCGTTTCACAGAGATTTTGTGGAAAATAAAGGCTGTGCTTTACGTATTTCGGTAGTTTTGAACGAATACGCCCCCTTCACTGAACGAGTCAGTGTTCTGAGTCATCTCGTTTGTGAACGAACTGAATGAATGATGCATCGGAGTAAATGATTCACTGGTTCACC